ATGACTGTAAGTCGCTTTGGATAAAAGAGTCTGCTAAATGGCATATTATTATTTATTTCAGCTTTTATTTATTTCATCACATTCCCAGTGGGTCAGAAGTTTACATACACTAATTTAATATTTGGTAGCATTGCCTTTAAACTGTTTAACTTGGGTCAAACGTTTCGGGTAGCCTTCCACAAGCTTCCCACAATAAGTTGGGTGAATTTTGGCCCATTCCTCCTGACAGAGCTGGTGTAACTGAGTCAGATTTGTAGGCCTCCTTGCTCGCACACGCTTTTTCAGTTCTGCCCACACATTTTCTATAGGATTGAGGTCAGGGCTTTGTGATGGCCACTCCAATACCTTGACTTTGTTGTCCTTAAGCCATTTTGCCACAACTTTGGAAGTATGCTTGGGGTCATTGTCCATTTGGAAGACACATTTGCGACCAAGCTTTAACTTCCTGACTGATTTCTTGAGATGTTGCTTCAATATATCCACATAATTTTCCTTCCTCAAGATGCCATCTATTTTGTGAAGTGCACCAGTCCCTCCTGCAGCAAAGCACCTCCACAACATGATTCTGCCACCCCTGTGCTTCACGGTTGGGATGGTGTTCTTCGGCTTGCAAACGACCCCCTTTTTCCTCCAAACATAACGATGGTCGTTATGGCCAAACAGATCTATTTTTGTTTCATCAGACCAGAGGACATTTCTCCAAAAAGTAAGATCTTTGTCATCATGTGCAGTTGCAAACCGTAGTCTGGCTTTTTTATGGCGGTTTTGGAGCAGTGGCTTCTTCCTTGCTGAGTGGCCTTTCAGGTTATGTCGATATAGGACTCGTTTTACTGTGGATATAGATACTTGTGTACCTGTTTCCTCCAGCATCTTCACAAGGTCCTTTGCTGTTGTTCTGGGATTGATTTGCACTTTTCGCACCAAAGTACGTTCAGACAGAACGCGTCTCCTTCCTGAGAGGTATGACGGCTGCGTGGTCCCATGGTGTTTATACTTGCGTACTATTGTTTGTACAGTTGACCGTGGTACCTTCAGGCGTTTGAAAATTGCCCCCAAGGATGAACCAGACTTGTGGAGGTCTACAAAAAAAATAATCTGAGGTCTTGGCTGATTTCTTTTGATCTTCCCATGATATCAAGCAAAGAGGCACTGAGTTTGAAGGTAGGCCTTGAAATACATCCACAGGTACACCTCCAATTGACTCAAATGATGTCAATTAGCTTATCAGAAGCTTCTAAAGCCATTACATCATTTTCTGGAATTTTCCAAGCTGTTTAAAGGCACCGTCAACTTAGTGTATGTAAACTTCTGACCCACTGGAATTGTGATACAGTGAATTATAAGTGAAATAATCTGTCTGTAAACAATTGTTGGAAAAATGTACTTGTGTCATGCACAAAGTAGATGTCCTAACAGACTTGCCAAAACTATAGTTTGTTAACAAGAAATTTGTGGAGTGGTTGAAAAACGTGTTTTAATGACTCCTACATAAGTGTATGTAAACTTCAGACTTCAACTGTATATATATATATATCAATTCTTGAATAGCTATTCTTACTTTGAGAAAAAAAGGAGTAGTCTTTTGTAGTTGGGAGTAGTAATCTCCAGGTGTCCTGTAAATTATTTGTATAGATGAAAATGTTCAGCCTCTTTGGAGGTTCCTTGAATTTGCCTTTTTTATTGCGACGTCTGTCAATCTTATCGAATGTATAATTTAGGTTGCCTGGTAAAATAATAGTTTCTGTCTGGATTTGATCTAACATAGCTTGACTTTTATCTAAAAACACGAGACTTGCCCCTGGTGGGATATATAATGAAATCAGAGTATATTTTTCACCAGTTACAATTCAATATTAGAAAACAGCCTTCTTGGTCTGTGTGCTGGGATTATTTCATTATCGTGTGCGATGAGCTGAGCTGTTACTATCCACTACTTGATTATCCTTGGTTGATACCTCTTTGCCTTATGCTTCTCTCTCTCTCTCTCTCTCTCTCTCTCTCTCTCTCTCTCTCTCTCTCTCTCTCTCTCTCTCTCTCTCAACCAATGGTTATTGTTGTGGGTGCTCTTTTATCTGACCTATAGGCATCGCTAGTATAAATATAGGATAAGAATAATATTGGTAATAAAATGAGACATTTTGGAAGAAAATATGTATTCCTCTGTATAGTTAGGAGAAGGCACACTATGTAGCTTTTGAATTGTATTGTTGAACTAAGTAAACATCTGATTCACCAACTTGTGAAGTCCATTTGAAGGTGAACTCAAGTCTGAATAGGCGTGCATGAGAGGTGTTCTATTTGGCTGCTCTAAAACCAATTTACGGGAGGTCTGGCTCAGGGAGGGTCTGCTTGAACTTCCGTCTGGACAAGATGTCTGGCATGTCTGAGGATGTCCTGCAACAGAATAGTGGGAGTGTTAGGAAAGATGGCCTAGCTCATGATAAAACCATTTTTGTTTGTGAGATATATGTGTGTGTGCGTGCCTGTACATGCATGCCCATGTGTGTGGAAGCGTGTGGGAGTGAGTCTAACTGGATCAGACATGCATGCCCTGCAAGGTTGGTGAATAACAGAATCAGACTCAGACAATGAATGAAATCAGGGGTCTCTTGGTTACCAAGGCAACAGCATCCGGAGCAACTTGATTTCTTGGTTTTGACAAGGGATAGAGGTCTCCTTATCTTCAGTACATTTGGGTACTTATAGTACTGTTCTAATCGACTTAGGAGACAGGACATCCATATTGGTCCTTTGTACTGAACTGGTTGTGATACTTTTTCCTTCTTTTTGGGGGGGAGAAAGATTTTATATGCTTCAGTGCTTATCTTGTTTCATTTTCTCCATCGACAGTTAGCCTATATTCTCTATATTCTATATTCTCACTGTTGCCTTATAATTTAATTTACTGCTGGGTTCGTCCTCTTCTATTATCCTCTATGTTCAAAATAGCTAAATGTTATCATGAGAAGGTCACAGTAGTAGCAACACAAAGCAGGGTAGTCTGCCAGTGCCACTGACTCCAAATGATATCATTAGCATTCACCTGGTCCCAGCAGAGACTATCAAAAACCTTAATTGAACTGAGTGAGAGAGAAGCAGGCAGGAGCATAGCAGCATACGTACAAGCAGGCTGCAATCCAAATCATTCCATTACTCTGGAGTGCCACTGAGTGGCTGGGTATTAGCTAGGCATCATCAGCTGAATACATTCACAACCAAAGGGATTCCCCAGGATACACTGTGAAACTAAAATGTACATGTACACTACCAGTCAAAAGTTTGAACACACCTTCTCATTCAAGGGTTTTTCTTTATTTTTAAAACTATTTTCTACATTGTACAATAGTAGTGAAGACATCAAAACTATGAAATAACACATATGGAATCATGTAGTAACCAAAAAAGCATGAAACAAATCAAAATATATTTTAAATGTGATATTCTTCAAAGTAGACACCCTTTGCCTTGATGACAGCTTTGCACACTCTTGGCATTCTCTCAACCAGCTTCAAGAGGTAGTCACCTGGAATGCATTTCAATTAGCAGGTGTGCCTTGTTAAAAGTTAATTTGTGGAATTGCTTTCCTTCTTAATGCGTTTGAGCCAATCAGTTGTGTTGTGACAAGGTAGGGGTGGTATACAGAAGATAGCCCTATTTGGTAAAAGACCAAGTCCATATTATGGCAAGAACAGCTCAAATAAGCAAAGAGAAACGACAGTCCATCATTACTTTAAGACATGAAGGTCAGTCTATTCGGAACATTTCAAGAACTTTGAACGTTTCTTCAAGTGCAGTCGCAAAAACCATCAAGCGCTATGATGAAACTGGCTCTCATGAGGACCGCCACAGGAAAGGAAGACCCAGAGTTACCTCTGCTGCAGAGGATAAGTTCATTAGAGTTACTAGTCTCAGAAATTGCAGCCCAAATAAATGCTTCACAGAGTTCAAGTAACAGACACATCTCAACATCAACTGTTCACAGGATACTGTGTTAATCAGTCCTTCATGGTCGAATTGCTGCTAAGAAACCACTACTAAAGGACACCAATAAGAAGAAGAGACTTGCTTGGGCATTAGACCAATGGAAATTTGTCCTTTGGTCTGGAGTCCAAATTTGAGATGTTTTATTCCAACCGCCGTGTCTTTGTGAGACACAGTGTGGGTGAACGGATGATCTCCGCATGTGTAGTTCCCACCGTGAAGCGTGGAGGAGGAGTGATGGTGTGGGGGTGCTTTGCTGGTGACACTGTCTGTGATTTATTTAGAATTCAAGGCACACTTAACCAGAATGGCTACTACAGCATTCTGCAGCAATACGCCATCCCATCTGGTTTGGGCTTAGTGGGACTAGCATTTGTTTTTCAACAGGACAATGACCCAACACACCTTCAGGCTGTGTAAGGGCTATTTGACCAAGAAGCAGATTGATGGAGTGCTGCATCAGATGACCTGGCCTCCACAATCTCCCGATCCCAACCAAACTGAGATGGTTTGGGATGAGTCGGACCGCAGAGTGAAGGAAAAGCAGCCAACAAGTGCTCAGCATATGTGGGAACTCCTTCAAGAGTATTGGAAAAGCATTTCCGGTGAAGCTGGTTGAGAGAATGCCAAGAGTGTGCAAAGCTGTCATAAAGGCAAAGGGTGTCTACTTTGAAGAATCTCAAATATAAAATATATTTTGATTTGTTTATAAATTTTTTGGTTGCTACACTATTCCATATGTGTTATTTCATAGTTTTGATGTCTTCACTATTATTCTACAATGTAGAAAATAGTAAAAATAAAGAAAAGTAGTAGGTGTGTCCAAACTTTTGACTGGTACTGTATATTTCAAATGTGAAAAAATACCCAGACATGCATGTGTCTGTGTGTGTGTGTGTGTGTGTGTTTGTGTGTGTGTGTGTGTGTGTGTGTGTGTGTGTGTGTGTGTGTGTGTGTGTGTGTGTGTGTGTGTGTGTGTGTGTGTGTGTGTGTCTGCGTGTCCATCTGTCTGTCATGTCTCACCCTTCATCTGCGGAGGCCTCAGCCATCGGTCCGGCATCAACAAATGTCCCCATCCGGCTCTTAGAGCGCTCCAGATTCAGCTGGCTCTGAGTCGCTGTTAGGAGAAAGGGAACACAACAACAACCTCTGGGTCATATTGAACAATGGGAGTATCTATGAAGCATACATATTCATTATACAACAGCTACCTGAAGCGAAATATATGTGCATATACAATGTGAATACAATATGCATTATTAGCCCATGCCTGTCTGAGAAATCAGAGAAGTGTAACCAAATAAACACTACTGGCTATGCAGTGGTTCGGCTGGTCTTAGCTATCTGTAGCTTATACAACCTAGTCCAGCCATCTCTCCACATCATTTTTATTATCGAATAGACTAACTGCTATGTGCAGCATCCTTTTGACATAACTCTCTCCAGCCAAATTGCTGCTGTTCAAAGCAATCTCCATCTCATCAAAGAGTATAAAGGAATGAGTGTGATGAGCTTTCTCTAATGTAATGGGCATGCTCTTTCATCACACATTCTCCTGGCATGGTTCATTATCATGCCCTAGCTGGACCGACCTGCAGAGTTATAAAGCATTTTACTTAGAATTTAGTCAGATCTCTGCCAAGGTATCATGGATTAACTGTCACTATCGTTCACAAAAAACAAAAATCTCTACAATGAATTGTATGAGTTTGAACTACGTAGAACTGACTCCAACACTGGGGACGACAGCAACTGAAGCACAGCAACTAAAAACTACAAACATAGCCATCTGACATTTACCTTCTTGTTTCAGTGTCTCTGGTTGCTCAGGGCCAGGAGGGTTAGCAGGCATAGGGTGCACTCTGAAGTTTCCTGTGAAGAGAGGACTTTTTTTTTTTTTTTTAAGAAACAGTTTCCTTGCAAATGGATTTGCTTGATGTCAAATCAAATGGGAGACATTGATAACTTACCCAAGTTGGGGAGAATGTTGTTAATGTTGAGCCAGGCTCTTATGAAGGGGAAGACAGAGATGAGGAGGCCTAGAAAAGAAAGACAATGTTGACACTAATTGATATCAGTTGACCATGGTGTTGAACTACTAATAGGAGTATAGTACTGCAAGTGTAGGCGTTACCTTCATTTACTGGTTTGTATTGATTGTAGGATTAGGGTGGTTTCAAATATCCTTTTTGATACTGTAAATGTCAATTAACAAACAGATGGAAGCTAGTGTTTGGTCTTGAGCACGGACCAGAGTTAATGGCGTAATAAATTGCTGATTACTATATTCCATTGTGGGTTCTCAAAAAACAAATGTCAGATAAACAAAGAAAGTTCCAATGACATGGGGACTGCACACACATACACTGGGGAGATACAGATACAATTGATATTACATTTCCTTCAAGTGGCTCAACAAACACAAACCTAAATGACTATCTCTCTGCTCATGCATATTTTATTTAATGACAAGCTGCTAACTTAATTTTAAAGGGACATTTCAAAAGGTTTAACTTCATATTCATCATCTCCAGCACCACCCCAACATCAACATATGTGAAAATGGCGCGTTTCTATGATTTGTAGTAAAAAAGATAGAGGAAGATAAGTGTTTCCAATGACATCATCAACATATTAGTAGACAATTAGTAGGCAATTAGTAGGCAATGCATACTGATAATTGGTTAAAATCACACAATACACACCGATGATGTCATTGGAAACACTTATCTTCCTCTATCTTTTTTTACTACAAAACATAGAAACCACAATTTTCACGTACAGTATGTTGATGTTGGGGTGGTGCTGAAGATGATGAATATGAAGTAGAACATTTTAGAAATGGCCCTTTAAGTGTTTTTAAGAATTTTTTTGGCTGATATGGATGTTTATCAGCATTATGCTCAGTATGAAAAAAGGGGACAGATTCCCGTCTGGTGCTACTCAATTACAAATGAGCTCCCATATGATGGTTAGCCTACTGGTAGAAGAGAACTGGATTTGACTTGATCCATTTTCTTAACCCTGACTCTCCTGCAGTCTCAGGAGCCCACTAGGACTTGTTGTGAATGCATCCAAACAGCTCTAGCTACCCTTGGGCAGGCAGGCTGAACACACTTATTGATTTCCCTTCTGAGCCACAGAGAGAGCTGCCATTGAACAGTGGCTGGTCCTGAGGGTGGCTGCGTGGCTGTGTGTGACGCATGTCTATGCTGTCAGAACATCTCACCAGTCGCCAGGCTGCAACAGGAGCGAAAAGATCCTCGCTATGAACATTGAGTTTTGATCAGTCAGTTCATAGCCACAGACATAGCCTACTCGGATCAGTGATTTTACTCTTTGGAGCAAATAATAAGAGGACACCTGCACTTCAGGACACAAAATGTGATTCTGCAGTGCATGGCTGAAAGTCCCATCATGGCAAAGAAGGGGTTGTCTGTGTGACGTAGTTCTCCATGCAAAATGTCAAAGAAATGTCACATTTGAAGAATTCAATGCTACCATATTGTTTTGTTAAGAATAAATAAGTTGTTGTTTTCTTACAAGGAAAAGCCACAAAAGTTTTTAGTTTTAGTTTTGGGATCATAACAACAACAAAATCAGAGGCTATAGTTGACTTTGAATGACGTATACTCAGTGTAGATCAAAAGCCGGCCACTTGTTTTCTACACTCTGACACTGCACTTCACATAATCTCCTGGGTAGAGTGGAATACCCTGCTCCCCATGCTGCTATCAACTGTCTAAGATTACACCAGCGGATCAAATGATCCCTGGGTGTGTTTTTGATGGAAGTGGATGGAAAATGGCATGGCTCACTGATCATTCACACAGTCTGCTGCAGGACTTGGCAAATATTAGACATTGCAGCAGGCCTTGTACACCTGAGAAAGGATTGCCTCTTAGACCCATATGACACCTTAGGATAGAGATCAAATTGTCTACCGTTTCAATATTGCAGTATAAAATCCTTCAGTTACAGTTAGGAATAAAGATAGATGTACATGTTTTTGTTGAAGAAAGCAAGGACATCCTGGAGTATACATATTGTTATGATAGAGCACAGAGATAAAAAAAAGTAAGTTAAATTTGCATGGAGTTTTATCTTTTGGAGAAATGGTCCACTTGTGGTGCCACCATCAAAGATGCACTAGTTTCTGAACTGAATAAGCTACCAGTACATTTCTGTAGGCATGCTGTATACTGTTGCTATAAATAATGTTTGCATGCCTTTTGCAATGCTATGCCCTGCAAGTACCAATGGAAATGTGCATGTTTTGCATAGCACATTGCATAGCACTCAACAAAATCAAAGACTAGGTGGAGTTCTGGATGTACTCACCCAGCCCCCCTGCACCCAGGAAGATTCCCCCTACGGCATCCGCATCACACTCCCTCGACACCCCGATAATGATGCACCCTGCCACGATGCTGAGCAGGGCCGAGCCCACCCGCAGACTGTGGTACTCCCCAATGCTGACAGCGCTCATTCGGCAGGTGGAGAGGAAACCCCCCACCTGGTCACCAAATGCTGCCCGCTTAAGGCCCTAGACACGCAGAGGGACTAGGACTGGCACAGACTGGACTGAACCTTGGCCTTCAGAGTCGGACCCAATGGTAGCACCTGTGTCAGCACCAACTCTAGTTGCAAGTACCCACCGCCACTCTCACTCTCACTCTCACTGTCACAGGACTCCTTTCTCTGCCAGCCAGGCAGTGTCTCTGCTCTGGCCTGCTTCAAGACTCCTCATGCATCATTAAAGACATGGCTCTGGTTTCCCTTTGCCACCGTTCATTCATTCACCCTCCAGACAGGGATATACAAACTACTCTACAAATCTAATCACAGCTGCTCCTCCCTCCCTCTCCCCCACAGGAATACTTAGACCACTGATGGCTCCGTCAGTGATGGTAATTAGGACTAAACTGAGAGTGGTCACAGAGCCTCTGTAGTTCCCCTCTCTATAATACAGTGGTCAAGGCTGGGTGTCATGAAACATAAATGCACAGTCACATTGCCTACTGCTCTCGAGACCCTGGCTGACACATGTGGAATGTGCTCTGAGATTAAGGTAACAGCATGCTTGTGATTATGCAAAAGAAAAGCAGGAGAGAGAGATGGAGAGAGAGAGGGGGCGAGAAAGTTCGAGAGCGAATGAAAGAGAGATAGAGAGAGTGAGAGGGTGGAGAGAGGGTGGAGAGAGGATGAGCGAAGGAGAGAGGCTATAGAGGGAGAGAAAAAGAGAGAAGGAGAGGGGAAGAAAGAGAGATAGAGGAAGAGAGAACACTGTCACTGATAGCGTCTGTGAGCTAGAAAGGAATGTAATAAAAGGTTCTGAGAGTCCTCTGTGGTCGGGGCCTGAGGCCGTCCACAAAGGCCCGTAGTTGCCATAGGAATAGCATATCCATGGCAACAGAGGGAGCTGAGCGTGAGTGGAATTACAGTTTTTTACAATCACTTTGGCACTAATTTCAGAACCTTGACGTCATTTTTCAAAACTCTAGACACAAAACTCACAACCAATGATCAAAATGCACATTTTTCAAAACTCTAACACTTTTTTCAATTGCTTGGATACAATACACATACAACTAAGATCATTTGTTCATTTAACAAAAATCACCTGTTCAATATGACACAACTTAACATCAAAGTACTACTATTTCAAAAGACAATTCACACAATACATTTCAGATGAGTGTCTATTCATTTCATTACAATTATCCAACTATCAATTGATGCAACTGCTCAAAATGATAAGTAACTGTTGCATTACTCTTAATGCATAGTTGTATGGAAACAGACAAACAATATTCCATGTTTAGATCATGAAAGTTTCAAGATAACGAGATTCATTGTCACCAATTAGCATGGAGCATGAACCAATTAGACTACATTATCTATGGATGTAATATTTCATCATCATTCTTTATCAGACACCGTTTCTATGGTCCCATGTACCACCTTTTCAGACTATTTACAGTATTGACAGTACTGCACTGTATGGATGCAGGCCCTTGTAATTGCTTGTCCAATTCTGCCAACTCGTTACTGATGATTGAGTGGAACGACATTGTGGAACGAGTATATAAAGAATTGATTGGGATCCACTTGCAACAACATAACGATACGTACTGTAACATGGAGCCGGCAGGTGATCCAGGTCACAATAGAGGTCAAGCAGTGGTGGGAGGAAGACGAGGAAGACATGTTGGTCAAAGGAATGGCAGGGGACAAGCACCCCTTCTGAGAGGTGGTCGTGGGCCTCGTTTGAGAGGTGTGGGGGAATGTGGTAGAGGACAAGGGCACGGACCAAGACAACGGCAGCAACAGCAAAGAGTGTCCAATGAAATCCGAGCAATAGTTGTAGACCATGTCATAAATCATGGCATGACAATGACTGAGGCGGCTACAATGATACAACCAAACCTCAGAAGGTCAACTGTGGCCTCAATAATCAGAACTTTCCGCAATGAGAAGCGGTAAGTCGTCAGCATGCACTAAACATTATGCTACTCTCAATTGTCAAATGACTGTATACCAATGTATATCACAGAGTAGGTGATGTGACCAAGTGTCTTCTTACTGTAATGTTCCCTGTAGAATTGAGACTAGGCCAAATAGGGGAGGCAGAGGCAAAATTCTGACTGACCAACAAGAGCAGGCTGTGGTCGATTTGGTTCGGGCCAGAAATGATATTCGCCTTACAGAAATCCGCCAGTATATCTTGGACAATGAAGACATGTTTAACAATGTGGAATCCATAAATTTGCCGACTATTGCACGCATGCTGAAAAGGCACCAGGTGTCTTTAAAACAACTATACCATGTGCCTTTTGAAAGAAATGCAGACAGAGTGAAGCAAATGAGGACTGAGTATATTCAGGTATGTTCAGTTTCAAGATGGCTGTTGTAATAAAATTCCCTACATTGTAGAGTAATCAGTAAATCTCTTTCCAAAATGTATTTTTAGAAGGTGATGGAGCTGGATGCTGATGACAACCATCACAAATTCATATATTTGGATGAGGCATGCTTTAACCTGGCCAAGACAAGGAGGAGAGGTCGGAATTTCATTGGCCAGCGGGCAACCATCCAAGTACCTGGACAACGTGGGGCCAACATTACCATGTGTGCGGCTATATCAGAAGATGGTGTGGTGGGACGCAGACCTCGTATTGGATCATATAATGCAGCTCTCCTTGTAACCTTCCTTGATGAGCTCGATCAGGTCTGTAGAGCTGATGGCGTGACCTATGTCATTGTGTGGGATAATGTCAGGTTCCACCATGCTCATATGGACCTCGTATTGGATCATATAATGCAGCTCTCCTTGTAACATTCCTTGATGAGCTCGATCAGGTCTGTAGAGCTGATGGCGTGACCTATGTCATTGTGTGGGATAATGTCAGGTTCCACCATGCTCATATGGTGCAAGCATGGTTTCAGGCCCATGCACAATTTACCACCCTGTATTTACCCCCATACTCTCCTTTCCTTAACCCGATTGAGGAATTTTTCTCCACATGGAGATGGAAGGTTTATGATAGGCGCCCTCATGAACAAGTCACTCTTCTCCAGGCCATGGATGACGCATGCAATGACATCACGGCAGACCAGTGTCAGGCCTGGATTCGCCATGCTCGAAGGTTTTTTCCAAGATGTTTGGCTAATGAAAACATCCATTGTGCTGTAGATGAGAACCTGTGGCCAAATCCACAAGACAGAGTTGATGAAAATGTAGAAGTACAGTAATCACTCCTATGTTTTGCTTTTTACAGTACAAGCAAGCAAGTTGAGGAACACTGCATTTGATGTTTTACAGTACTGCATTGTTTTTCATCAATATATTTAAGATTTTGTTAAATGATTCCACTGTGTCTGTAGTATTCTCTCTACTACTGCAGTACTTTTACAGGGATGTATTTACATTTAGTACCATAATGAAACATGTATCACCTATTTTGTACTACAATATTTAATGATTGTACGAACAATGACACAGTGAAACTATCAGTTGCTTGTGTGCTAAATTAAAGTTTCATTGGTATTTCACAATAAATGTGTTTTTTGAACCAATGATTGTGCAAGACTTCTTTAAAGATATGAATGCACAATGCAATGTTTTGAACATTGGACAGCCTGTGTTACAAGTGATGACCGTTTTGACTTTTGTGTCTAGAGTTTTGAAAAATGATGTCAAGGTTCTGAAATTAGTGCCAAAGTGATTGTAAAAAAACGGTAACACCAGCGAGTTGGGTAACAAACAAAGTTATCGGGAGGGAAGAAACAGTGACACATATCCTGTTCAAGCTGCATCATTTTTCATTTTCATATTAATGCATTGTGGTAATATCCTGGTGCTTGAAAGACATGTTTGCTTCCAGCCAGTATATTACTTTGTAAGAATGTGACAGGGTAATCAAAATATTTAAGGAGCGTGTGTGTGTGTGTGTGTGAGAGAGAGAGAGAGAGAGGCACCAGGCAAAGAGGTAACTTGTCCCTGAAGTGATTGATCAAAACTCTGTGTTCCCCTGTATAATACAAAGACATTAGGATTGTGTAAAATAAATTACGGCAGACGTGAAAAATGTATAACACTACATTGTTATCTCCAACTTCTGCAGCAGTTGATGCTTCCCTCTGTTCCTCACATATCAACAGCAAGTAGCCTAGTGCCAATTAGCCTAGGCTGAGAGAGGCCGCCTGGTGAAACCAGGCTGGCTGAATCATTCATGATAAACTCTGTACTGTAGCTAACATCCTCTTCCTCTGTGTGGCAATGGGCAGGTGATGGGATATGTCTGCTCTGTCTGTCTGTCTGTCTGTCCATCTCCACCCTTCCAGCCTGAAGGTATGGATATCAATGGTGGGGAGTAAGATACATCAACTATTTAATGGTTCATTAAAGATGTGCAGTGGGAGGATAATGACCTACATCAAATTAAAATTGTGGAAATGTTGTCTCAGTGAATGGTCATCTAGGCCTGTCTCAATAGCAGGGGGTGGACAACAATGATGACTGGCGTGGGTTTAGAATGATGAGGCCAAGTCACTGTCAACAACCAGTTCACTCAAGCTGTAAGCAGATCAGCCCATCTCCAACACTGATGGCATGCAAAAACCTTGGACATTTTCTCTCATCTCCCTGGCGACTGGTGATAAATTGGCTGACGAGGCAATACAATGGCCACTAACTGTTACTGTGTAGGTAAACCAACCACTTAATAACGTACAGTATTAGGCTCTCCTTTTTGAAGTAATTGGAGGTAGAGAACAAAACAAAAAATGTGGACATTGTGTACAAGCATCAAATGTATAGTATTTGACACCTACAGTGGGGAAAAAAGTATTTAGTCAGCCACCAATTGTGCAAGTTCTCCCACTTAAAAAGATGAGAGAGGCCTGTAATTTTCATCATAGGTACACGTCAACTATGACAGACAAAATGAGAAAAAAAATCCAGAAAATCACATTGTAGGATTTTTT